GGGGATTTTTGGCAAGGTGTCTGAATCAAAGAAAAAAACCGATGAGTCGAAATAATTATTTAACTTATTTAATTACGATGGCACGCGTATTTAATTGCCACTGGAAGAAAACTTTATACATCTAATCTACATATAATTATGAAATAGTTAAATATAAACTTTAGCAATAAATACAAAATAATATTATTTTATGTCATATTCAGAACGTTCGAAAAAGGAATACGAAACAGCCACTACCCGCTTGCTTTCTCACATTGTTCAGTCAAGTGATCGAAGAACTCAGGGTGGTCAAAAATCACCTAGGAAAGTACCTCGACTAACACTGGTCTAAACTCAATTAACCTTCTTCTAAAGTGCTGAACGCTGACACAGGATCAGGAAAGTTTGAAAATTGCCAGAAATGGGAGAAAGATAAAGAAGGTTACTAGCTATAGATGAATTGAATGAACGGAAAAATTCTTTACTAGAAGAAGACATGAGACCTTAATCCAAGACCCCATTTCTAACGAATCAGACACTATCAGTCTGATGTTAAAGATTCGTAATGCTGAGGACAAATACAACAGACAGATGATTTGAAATACAATAGACAGATGAGGACAAATACAACAGACAGACAGATAAAATAATTCACTTTGATCTTGCTAATTAAATGAACCTTGTTGAGATTTAACCCAACTCGACTTGTTTGTGAGACAGAGTTTGATTAAGCAACTAATAGGTAAATCATGTTTAGAAAAGTGCCGCTTTTCGAAAAACCGTGCACATCATAATCGCGCCGTCCACTCGCTCATAAACAACTACGGGAGCCTCGAAGCAGGCCACTTCCGCGATTAGTTTTTATTGACTCCGTGGTTCTTATTATGATTCCCTATTATACTAGACGTAATATATGAATAACACCGCATCAGTGTATTTAGCTGAGCAACATGCTTGAATGCTAATTAACATTCACTATGTATATGGATATGGGGTTAATTATACTTAGTGAAAATCAAGCGTCAGTTCCATATCTCGCATTAAATTCAAAATCTACAACTGAATTTGTCACTCTAATTTCCTCAAGCAATCTCGCCACAATTAATTTATCTATCTCTATTAAAATTTAAACATTATCTGTCACTGAAATAATTTTATTACAATGTCTGGAGGTGTATAAGATCAGCGAAAGTTCCGTCGGCCAGCGACTTGATTTGATTATCATACAGTGACAGGAGATTCAGGTTAGACAAAGCGCTGAATGTCTCCTTTCGTATACACTGCAGTTTGTTTGCATTCAGAAGCCTAAATTGGTTTTGAAATCGAATAAAATATTTTGATAAAGTTTTGACAGTTTCCTTACAGCAATTGCAAGTTGTAAAGCCCTCGAAATACGGTCTTTGGAAGCTCGACGATTTGGTTTCCATACAAGATTCTGAAATGATTTACATAAAATCACAAAAAAAACACTAAAACAAAAAAAAACGCATTTTGTACAGTGAACTGAGAGATTCCAAGCCTTCAAAAGCATCCGGGGCGATTTGACTGATGGCGTTGTTGCTAAGGTCACTGAAAACAAAAGAAACGTATGTTTCAAGTGTAAGCAAATCCAACCACTCGTACTCACAGTCGTTTCATGTTCCTCAGATTCGAAAATGCTTTTGAGGGCAAATAGGAAATCCGGTTTTGCTCCAGTCTCCTGAATCAGCAAGTTCGCATTAGAATGTAAGATTTTATTACTTTAAAAATCAACATCTGTTTTTTATTGGATTTCTTACCATTCAATGGTAATTGCAGTAACCAGATGAAAAATCGATGCAGCTTTGGTTCAATAGACGGAGTGCAGACTAGTGCGCCAAAAGTAAGGGGCATAAATCCCAGCCTGTAGTCCTTGGAATAAAGATAAATAGTACCATGCCATGAAAAAGAGGCAGAAGCTACATGTCTTAACCGTGTTCACGCAGCTGTGGACCTTTTTTGAAGAAATAAGGCAATTACGACAGTAATGGAGATGCAATGCTGTGCAGCATCGCTATGATTGGAAACATTTCTTTCATATGGACAAAAGCATAAATAAATTGCAGCAATAAATCATGAACGACTACAAAAGATAAGGCAAAGTCCACCTATGTTAAGGTGTAAAGAAACGCGATATATCTATTACACAGTCTTCTCGAAGTTAAATATAATCAACGCTTTAATTTGCATAACTTCATAGACATTTGACTGTGCTTAACCTAAACAAGACTAAGACACTGATTCAGTCAAAATATCTTACTTAGTCACATCTTGGGTGTAAATTTCAGTGAAAGTAATGATAGGCTCGGCTACGTTATTAAATGAATGACGAAGAATGTTGTCAACACTATATGATGCAGTCTGTGGTTCAGTCGCTGAAATATATCCAACGCTTTGCATTACTCTAAGATTTAATCAAGCTGTCACCATATCGGAATTAACGGTGATCACCATATCAAATCACGCGTGAGGCGAGCCACGGATAATGTAATTCTTTGAGCAAAAAAATATTAAATAATTGATTTATGACCGGCTGCCACGAAGTTAGTGGAAACAAACACAAACTGAACAAAGATATTGCATTCATATTTTTATACTCGAACTGAGCTGCATAAAAGATCCACAGATTCTTTACGTCACGATGTTTAGGAGACCCAAAATAGGGTGAAAATTTAATTTAGGCTGCAGAATGCTGGAAATTCCAGCTGAAACGGGATTGCCGAGATACGAAGTTCAGAGGAAGTAGAAAGAACATTTACATGGTGTCCCTGGTCGAAAGAAAACTTTAGATCGAATATCAAGGTAAACGCCTTGGTGGAGTACTTATGAAAGACATGCACGACAGAGTGACAACGACAGTTTGAAGTACATATGTTAAAAAATAATCTATTGTCCGAGTATGGGTCCATCAAGTTTCAGTAATGATCCCATTTTTGCTTTCGACAGCGAGAGAATACGCGATAACTAAAGATCTGTAGGAAACGGGACCGTAGTGCATGTTCTGTGAAGATTACGTAGTCTAGAACAGTAAGGTCAGAGAAGCAGTAAACGAAAACTCCAAGGCATAGAGAAGAGTTCTTGAGACAAACTGCTCTCGTCTCAGCAAAAGAAAGTCAGCATAAGCTAGTAGGCCATTTCAGCGGGAAGAGCAGAGAAAAAACCGACGAATCAGTGAAAGTGGCGGAAATCATGCTGTATGAAACTCAAGAATTGAAGCATATTAGTTCTATCCTTCAAGGCAATTGAAAAATCGACAATGAGTCAAGAAATGGATCGAAATAAAGCGCAGATCCGACTAAAGGCCGAAAAATGTGGAAAAACTCAAACAGTCCGCCTCTATCAAAAGCTAGGCACAGGCTAGGAAAAAAAGTATAAATGAAAAACCGGGTTTTCCAATCGGATTTAGTTTATATATCAAACAAGACGATGCGTCTTGCGGAAACGGTAATGGTGATACCTAATAAAAAAATCAGTAATGACGGTAAATGACTACGCCATTAATTGGCAATAACTGTTTCTGATGGAAATGAACAATAAAAAACGGTGAAACTAATTCCTCTTCCAAAAGGCTGTGATCCAAGGGCCACCTTTAGCATTAACTTTACAAAAGTAGACGAATGAACCATATCGGTGACCCTTTAGATATCAGATGTAATGCAACGTTGCTTCTATTAGCTTTTGTGTTGAAAGGCTGAAGGACGCATGGCTAAGGATGTATAACCGTGAGCCTGAAACCACTGAAATACAAAACTCTGCGTATGCATCATAAAAAGTGTAGAAGCACGAAACGTACAGCTCAGACGTTGTATCGGGCAAGTTCGGCGGAACCTGTGTCAGACTTCGGTCTCGACAGTCGATGGTCGATTCGGTGCAGGCGCACATCGGCGGACAAACGCTGAGTCTCTGACACCCGGTCTCCAGATGATTCTCGATTCCGCTGCACTGCAGTTCATCTTCATCCACCTCGGCCAGATTTCGTCCTCTCAGGAAAACGGGCGCTTGGCAACGAGTGTTAAGACCCAACCTCGGGTGCCGATTCAGCCACCTTGCCAACCACGTCAATCGACAGTCACAAACCAGGTGGTTGTCTGCCAGCCTCCTGAAAAGCGTCCACTTCATTTCGATGGGTCAACCGCTTAGAAAAAAAAACTTTACATCACTCGTAAACTCTTCATGTTTTCAAATATATTAGAAGCGAATGTTGTAAGGTTGTTGAAATTCAACGTTCTAAATGTTTAGCGTTAGGAACCTGTGGCATACACAGTGGACATAGAATAAATACAGAATTTCCAATTCCGTTTGCGCTTTCAATGCTTCCTCATCGATGCAGACCAAAAAATTCTTGTCAAGCTGCCTAAAAATAAACGTTAGAAAAGTTTTTTTAAACTAAAAAAACAAGTACAAATTTTTTAGTCTGCGGGGGCCTTCGAACATCTTCGAAGTGACGAAAGTGAGGTAGTTTTCGCTTATATCCCTAAAATATGGAAACTTTGTTACGAAGAAAACATGCAAAAACTCTATTCAGAGCATTTTCTTTCAAAAATGGTAACATAAAAGTAATTGTTTTCAGTAAAATTTTATTATATTTCTTTCAAACCCGGTTTTCACTATTGTCGAACTGATAATCAAAGTTTTTCAGGTTGTAATAATTTCTGGGAGTAAATCCAATACTTCTTCCTGAATTGACCAAAAAATTGTGCCTCCTCATCGGAAGCATATTTCGTTTCCTTAATTCAGTCATGCGACGGGTCAACTGCCAACCTTTCATTAATCGTTTTTGGAACAATCATTTTCAAAGGACTAACTAATAAATTATAACGTTCCTCTGATCAGTACTGGACAGAAATGATTTCGCCGTTATAAACTGCAAAGTACTCGAAGACTTAATGATAAACTACCGAAAAGTACCATCTACGTACGTCGTTGAGCAATTTTTTGTGTAAACAGTAGTGGCGCTCAAACGGATCCCTGAGGAATCACTCACCATATGATATGAGTCAATAAAAGTCTATTATTTGATTAGCATCGTCAAAGAATTCCATTTTTCAACAAAAGAAGGTGGAAAACATGAAATTAGTGCACATAAAACAGAATTCTACCTGTACACGGAGCTAACAAAGAAGCAGTGCACAAAATGAAAAGTCTGTCAGCGTTGAAATGCCGGGCATCTTCGCACTTTCAGGAGGGGGCACCTTGGCGCATTTTTTACATGTCTCTGGTGATGTAGGTCTGATATCCATTTCCATGGCGTGAGCCTCGTTTTAGAGGCACAGTTTATAGCCGTATTTCAAGCATAACGTATAGTCTCCTGCTTCCTTCTCATATAGTGGTACTAATTTATAAATCTCTGAAGTGAATGACCCTGACTGGGAGGTTAGAAGTAAGATTTCTTGATGCCAAACGCTCGGATGTGGAGACGTACACCATTCATCGCAGCGAATTACCCGAATCCGGAACTCAAACCTGGAACCCCTCGGTTCTGAGTTCTCAGACCGAACAACAATCTCGTTGATTGCTACGATTGTTTGCCCTGAGCATGGCCAATGTCGATTGGACAAAACTTTGGCAGTTCCGATACGGAATTAATTAGTTGTCATTTTGCTTGTATCTAGAACCATTAAATTGATGATTTATTGAAAAAGGAAGACACAGAACTGCAGCGAGTTTCAGAAATGAGTAGATTTAGTCTATAAAATTAGCGACAGGCATGGCGAGAGTTTGTCATGCAGAAAAAATGCACATTCACTCAATCGTCATTGATTCTCAAAACCTGCCGTTTCAGGAAACTATGGAATCAGTTTCAGCAATCCGCTTCAATGTCCTGATCTTACATCAATCACTTGAGCCTAACTATTCTAATTCTAAGGCACGGTAAGATCAGGTCCTATACTCTAGTCACATGAACAATGCAGTTATCCATTCCTGATGATTCAGCTTGGTGTTCATTGCTGCAGTTCATTCAGTGCTTTGTCATTTTAGTGATGGTATTTAGTATCAGAATAATATCTCAGCAATGGTAATACAAGCATGCTAGTTGGCTACCGTTGTTTATCTTCGTTTTTTTGTCATCGCCTTCAGTCATTTGCATAAACAGAACATCTGTTTTATGACCTCTGCATTCGCAGTATTTCGACACTTTTCTATAAGGCATGGGCTGTTACACTGCAGAAGGAACGGTTCCTCTCCAAAGTCAGATCTACAACCACCTTTTTCCAGTATGGAACGTGCATGTCGCCTTGTCAACGGAAATTGCATTCGGTTTCCAATCGAAAGCTCGCGAACCCAACCCGCTTAAGTGATAAGGTCAACCATCATGTTTTAATTTGCACTTCTACAGGGGACAACTGTTTCCGAAAATGAATTCATTCCTTACGCTGCTCTGTTCTGTTCGTTACATGCTTATACAGAAAAGTTTTATCAGTCGGATGATTGACCAGTGCTGACGCTTCAGCCTGTCTCACGTGCTTTGCTCAACGTAGAGAACGGATCGGTTTTGGAATTAGTTCTGGTCTTTCACAGCGGTTCGAACATTTGGAGTTAGAGGGCCTTCTGCGAACGACAAAAGGAACTTTCGAAGTCATCCCATCGCTCCACCTCTTAATTACAGAACATTTTATGCGTTGTCTTCCCGGTTATGACTTAGCAAAAAATTATATATACAGCCTAAAATCAATCACAGTTCATATCGTTATCACTGGAATGAGCGTCAACTGTTTTTTGAGCTTGTAAGACGGCGACATTAGTTGCAAAATTAGCTAAAATCAACCATCACGGAAAGTTTTAATGACTGTTTTCAATTTTGATTTTTTGTGTATGTAACCAACTAAGGCTTTTTATCTGCCAACAAAATAAAATTTTTCGTTCGTTTAAAATTACGGATTTTCGAAAGACACGACATTAAACTTGCATCTCTATAGGCTCAAGCTTTAAAGTTATAAAGAAGACGTACAAAATCAGTGATTGATTTTCTAGCTCAAAACAACATGATATTGATATATCGATTTTAGCTTACACTACGCCATGAATCACAACCATTTGGCGACCAAGACTAGTTACAGCATTTTTTTCAGTCTTGACAAAGATAAGGTCAGCAGATATGAACAGCACAATAACTAAACGCACTACACATGTACATGAGTAAATGAAACAAGTCGTAGTGGGTATTCATTCATTCATTAATTCATGCATTCATTCATTCGTTCGTTCATTCATTCATTCATTTAGTAATTCATTTACTTATAGGTTCATTCGTTCACTCACTCGCACAGTGCTCGACTTGGAAAGTATTGAGTTTGATTCACACTGCGGCCAATCTTGGCCTTTACCACGAATTTCCTTGAGAAAGAAATTTACCACACGCTGCTTCCGATCAGGCTTACTCGGTCGCTAGAGCGTCACACATATAATCGACTGGTCCGATTTCGAACTTTGGCCAGGGTCACTTGCCTTTCATACTTCCGAGGTTGAAAAATGAGTACCACCCTGATAAAAGAATAACAAAGAAACAGGAGAATACAGACTATGCTAGTGACATAGCTGATATCGAGTCTGCCCTTAAAACATAACACTTCTGACTGATGTCATGGAAATGATGATCAGCTCCTCACATCACCCGAAAATTCCGAATTTGCCTCATCATGCAAGTGTAAACGAGGCAGACATTCCAGGGGTTAAAAACTTTCATTTTTCTATTCCATTAAATCTACAAGCAACATCAGAACTGCACAGAAATGCGAATGCTCAGTAGGGTATGTTCTGTCAGAAAAGGGTCCGTTAGCTAAGACACGAGAAAACATATCTGGCGAGCACGTTGGAAATGTGGTCCAAGCATGGATGATGCGTGGGAAGAAAAAGGGGAAGATCAAAGAAAAGGTGAAGCACTGTTATAGACAACGATATGAAATTGCAATAGTGACTGAAGATTTGACCAAAGACTGAAGAATCTGGAGGCAGCTAAGTCGAACAGAGAATTCTTGATATAGGGAATACGCTAACGAAATGAAGAGCACTTGCCTTAAAAGATCTTCTGATGCTGAACAATGAGAGAAACACCCCTTTCGACGAACTTCACTTCTCATCACTTCCATCTCACCAACCCGATAATGATTCTTTGATTCTGACAAGACATTTTTATATTAGCTGACCTTCACGCAATAGGATGGATGGAAAAGAAAGTAAATAGCCATTAGAATATTGGCCTTGTTTATACTTTCATGATGGCATCATTCTGGCGCTCTTCTCTTCTTCTGAAGTTAACGCTGCAGTGCTGACTTCCAATTCCATAATATCAGGCAGCAGTGCTCATTTCAAAATCAGAACCGACAACAGCTATACATGACAAGCATAGAATGTAGTGTCCCGTTTGATTTTTATACAATGGCATTGATTTCTCATCCACTGAAGTTGAAAAGGAAAATGCGCTTACTAGGGGATGGGGATTCGAGCCTTTGACTTCTTCTTTCCGGGTCTGACGCCCTACCAACTGAGCAGTCTTCGGTTGTGCCATGGATAATAGGCAGCCGACAGCTTGAAGCATAGCAACTCTCCAGATTTTTTATAAAGTGATCTGTTTCTTTAAACTGCTTAATTATACATACGTTTAAGTTTTTACATTTCTGATTTACATTCTGTACATTCATGGATTTTGAAATAGCCGAAATTATGAATCATTTGGGTAAAGTAGCTGCGTTATCTCAATCATAGTCTTACTCTTAGTGCCGCGCTCGATGCGCCATCGCCCACTTCAATAGTCAAAGTTCTAATGATCAGCAACCTCCCCTGCGCTCTCAAATTGTATATTTTTAATCACTAGAGATTCGAATGAAATTCATGACTCACAACTCAGGGGTTAGACAGCGGTGACTTACCTCCTAAATGTTAACAACATTCGTAATCTTTACAGATGCTTAACTATCTGAAAAAGTTTGACCTTTGTCAATCGAAGAGATAACGAAAATAGCGGCCACTCGTGTAAGGAGCGTTTTGTTGAACGCCCATGTGGATGACCCAGAAATTTCAACTTTCAACTGTACTTCTCACCTCCTGTCGCAATCGCATTCAGTGTTCCAGGTCACAAATGCAATCAGGCTGATGACTCGGGAAAATAAATGTCAGAAGTG